TAATCGGAGGTGCGGGAGAACAAATTAGTGGGGAGTGGTGGCGCAGTGGTTAGCACGCTGCGCAACGAGCCCGGCGACCCGAGTTCGATTCCTGCTCTTGGCCAACACTAGTGATTATCGGAACCGATCTTGGGCCTCCCCTAGGTCGATTCAACCTCAAATGAGTACCTGGTGTATACACATTTCCACGAGGGGGACAAAGGCGGCCAGCCGTGGTGCTGCCCACCCACCCCCTGATGTGCAGTGCTAACCATTGTAGGTGCTTTCTAACAGCACTTGCCCCAAAAGTCTGTTCAGGCTCTAAGGGCGATATTTGTCTTTGTAGTCACCTGTTAGCTACACCTATGTATGCGTGTTGTGACAAGTTAGTCATACTTTTGTACATTGTGCCTTGTGAGGTTTGATGACCTCTTCGCTATGTTTGACGTTATTGCGGAAGTTGACCTCGGCATGTGTAAGACAGTCTCTTTAATATATCTGTCTCTCTGCATAAAAAATACAAGTAGTGCTTACACAACCCATAATGTATGCTGGTAAACTCGCAAAGACAGTGATGATGTTGTGGACTTTACTACTGTGTTCACCACTGCTCCTGGTTTAAGTGCCTCAATTTGGTTGGACCTTGAAGACGACCGAATAAGACTCCATTTAACGGTACCTTTAAATCTAATGAAATTGACAGCAGTCACACATTTATATTGGGAGATGAGAATTTAATAGTAATGGTACGTCTTTGCCGAAGCTTACTGCTTTGTCAGGCGTAGTATGCGTAAAATTGACTGAAGAGTTGTGGTTTATAAAATTGCCACACACTGCAGGTCTGCTACCGTATCTCATACATTGCTCTTAACAATTGAGAGTAATGCTTTTAAATAAATTGCTTCTTTAAGTGTAACATTGTCATAAACACGTGTAACCACAGCACTGTTTTATTCTTCCTTTGGGGGGTGGATTGGATGTTTCGGTGCATTCACTGTCGACTCTAGGTGAGAGATGGTAAACTATCCATATATTTCCGTTCATAATTGTCAAGGTTATTATGCTTGCATTATTTCAAGCACGGCTACCTATAAATGTCACGATTTAATGCTTTTTTAAATGTTCTGATAGCTGTTAATCTTGTTATTTTTTTAGGTCCCCCGCTGCCAAGCAGCATATTATCTCAACACATTTCCCATCTGTCTTGAAACACAGGATTGCAGTGTATTGACTGATTGATCTGTATAATACTCTTTGGTACTTTCGGTAAAGTCACGTAGGTATAAATAAAATAAAACAAATCACGACGTTTCGATCGCAACACAAGCGATCCTCATCAGGTGGGACAACCACAGCAAGAAAATGCTGAAGTCGGCGGGAGAGCTGCCGTGGCAAGAGGTTATATAGGTGAGAGGGGGGAGGAGGCAAGGGGGGAGAGAGAGAGGGGGGTGTGGGGTGCGTGAGCGCTAGGGGAAGAAGACGTGAGGGGGGGGGGGGAAGTGGGCGGGGCTAGAAGTGGGAAGCTGGGGAAGAACAGATACAAATGTGCTAGTAAACCGGCAGGTACAATGGAAACAACAACCAGTTAAGGCATTACCTGGTTGATAACATCCTTCCAATGATTGTTCAGTTTGTATCCATTTTATCGGTTGAAGTTTTGTCTGTTTATATATCTGGATGGCTTCATGAACAGACCTTTGATAGTAGCCCGAAGGTTTGCAGAGTACCTTGGTCTCGGAAAAAACAATATCATGCGAGCCCACAGCGTTATAACAATGGTCAGCTACGGCAGAGGTATTGATTCTGCCATGTTTAAGATCTGCCTTGTGTTCACGAACACGGTTCGAGACATGTATTTTCGTTTCCCCAATGTGACTGCTACCGCAGGTACAACTTAGTTTGTAGACTTCAGGGTATTGCATGTCAGGAATCGAAACGTCGTGATTTGTTTTATTATTTTATTTCTACCTACGTGACTTTACCGAAAAAACCAAAGAGTATGGATTGCTGCAGTCACAAAAGCTTCAAATCAAGATTGATCTGTATACAGTATGTGATCTCAGTAATTTACATGCTCGCCATTTGTGTACAGATGTCTGCATATAACTACTCACTTTAAACAATTTTTACGTCAGCAGGTAAGGCCCACTGAGCTACAGTGAGGGAAAAAAAGTATTTCATTCCCTGCTGATTTTGTACGTTTGCCCACTGACAAAGAAATGATCAGTCTATAATTCTAATGGTAGGTTTATTTGAACAGTGAGAGACAGAATAACAACAAAAAAATCCAGAAAAACGCATGTAAAAATGTTATAAATTGATTTGCATTTTAATGAGGGAAATAAGTATTTGACCCCTCTGCAAAACATGACTTAGTACTTGGTGGCAATCCTTGTTGGCAATCACAGAGGTCAGACGTTTCTTGTAGTTGGCCACCAAGTTTGCACACATCTCAGGAGGGATTTTGTCCCACTCCTCTTGCAGATATTCTCCAAGTCATTAAGGTTTCGAGGCTGACGTTTGGCAACTCGAACCTTCAGCTCACTCCACATATTTTCTATGGGATTAAGGTCTGGAGACTGGCTAGGCCACTCCAGGACCTTAATGTGCTTCTTCTTGAGCCACTCCTTTGTTGCCTTGGCCGTGTGTTTTGGGTCATTGTCATGCTGGAATACCCATCCACGACCCATTTTCAATGCCCTGGCTGAGGGAAGGAGGTTCTCACCCAAGATTTGACGGTACATGGCCCCGTCCATCGTCCCTTTGATGCGGTGAAGTTGTCCTGTCCCCTTAGCAGAAAGCACCCCCAAAGCATAATGTTTCCACCTCCATGTTTGACGGTGGGGATGGTGTTCTTGGGGTCATAGGCAGCATTCCTCCTCCTTAACACGGCGAAGTTGAGATGTTGCCAAAGAGCTCCATTTTGGTCTCATCTGACCACAACATTTTCACCCAGTTGTCCTCTGAATCATTCAGATGTTCATTGGCAAACTTCAGACGGGCATGTATATGTGCTTTCTTGAGCAGGGGGACCTTGCGGGCGCTGCAGGATTTCAGTCCTTCACGGTGTAGTGTCTTACCAATTGTTGTCTTAGTGACTATGGTCTCAGCTGCCTTGAGATCATTGACAAGATCCTCCTGTGTAGTTCTGGGCTGATTCCTCACCGTTCTCATGATCATTGTAACTCCACGAGGTGAGATCTTGCATGGAGCCCCAGGCCGAGGGAGATTGACAGTTCTTTTGTGTTTCTTCCATTTGCGAATGATCACACCAACTGTTGTCACCTTCTCACCAAGCTGCTTGGCAATGGTCTTGTAGCCCATTCCAGCCATGTGTAGGTCTACAATCTTGTCCCTGACATACTTGGAGAGCTCTTTGGTCTTGGCCATGGTGGAGAGTTTGGAATCTGATTGATTGATTGCTTCTGTGGGCAAGTGTCTTTTATACAGGTAACAAGCTGAGATTAGGAGCACTCCCTTTAAGAGTGTGCTCCTAATCCCAGCTCTTTACCTGTATAAAAGACACCTGGGAGCCAGAAATCTTTCTGATTGAGAGGGGGTCAAATACTTATTTCCCTCATTAAAATGCAAATCAATTTATAACATTTTCGACATGCGTTTTCTGGAATTCTGTTGTTATTCTGTCTCTCACTGTTCAAATAAACCTACCATTAAAATTATAGACTGATCATTTCTTTGTCAGTGGGCAAACGTACAAAATCAGCAGGGGATCAAATACTTTTTTCCCTCACTGTATATAGCTATTTTTCAGAAGCGACCTGGCCACAAATAATAGCTCAACGAAGTGGCTTATTACGATGAAATTTATAGCAGCCAAATTACTCTAAGCGCATGTTCCTGTGTCCACCCACGACGTCTGCCGCTGTTCATCAGTATGTGTACTCATCTGTGTGCTGAACTGCGAAACGCTGTTTGCTCCTGTGTGTGTGCCTATGTGCATCAATGTTTGCTCCTGTGTGTGTGCCTATGTGCTTCAATGTTTATCCATGTGTAGTGGGTGACTTGAGAGACAGCACGTTTATTCTACACTTTAGACACTTGTTCACACACGGGACAACTACAACCGGGTCAGGGCAGCCGGCACGCTGCCTGACCCACGACTCCGGAGACGAATACCTAGCTCGACGTGTTCCATTCCAATGACAGACAGCCCTTATACAGCCTCAGGACTTCCCTTTTATGCCCCCCGGCATGGCCTAGCTCCGCCCTCGGCCACGCCCCCTCCTGGAACCTACCACAAGGCTCTGGGCTATACCCCACGTGTCCCCTTGGTCACCTTTAACCCACATCCCCTTACCCTGGCCTATCACGTGCCCTGTTAGCTGGCCGGGCTGCTACGTCCTCATATGCCCCTTTCTGCCAGCAACAAGCGCTACGCACCCCAGTGACCCATTCCGTGGCATTGCATGCTCTGCTGGCAGAGCGGCTGCTACACCCTGCTCTGCTGGCAGGTCGGCTGTTGTGCCCACAATTCCCCTCTCTGCCAGTAACTAGCGCTATGCGCTGTAATGACCCATTCTATGTCGCTACATATACATATGTGTAACATTGTGCCTGTGGAGAGCGGTAGTGCAGTGGTTATCTTGCTGTGCTGCGAATCCGGCAACCCTGGTTCAATTCCTGGTCAACACCAGTGACGATTATCTGAACCAGTTCTGGGCCTCCCCTAGGTCGACTGGGCCTTAAAAGAGTACCTGATTTATCACCACTGGGAGACGAAATTGGCTGGGTGTGGTATTAGCTACAACACTTCCTCCTCGTGCGCCGCGATGGCCTTCAAAGGTGCTCGCTAACAGCAATTGCCCCAGCAGTCTGTTTAAGGCTCTAGGGGGAATCTTTGTCAGTTTATGTACCCACACAGGTGCACACGTGTGATCTTGTGTTTATTCCTTTTTTGTACTTGCGTACCGAAACTGGTGCTCATGTAGAACTCGTGTGGGTGTTTGTGTGTGTGTGCGCGCATCTGTGTGTGTGTCTCTGTCCACGTGCACTGGGAGCAGCAGTTCTCCGGGTACGGAGCGCCGGGCGGTGCTCCTGGCCAGTACCCTGGTGGATTCCCTGGGGGCTTCCCGCAACAGGATCCGCTTTTCGGCTACTTCTCGGCAGTTGCCGGGCAGGTGCGTATGCCCCGTCCCTATTATCTCACCCGGTGATCTGGAAGGCCAACTACCACTGTCATTTCATGCTCATGCTAGCCTCGATAGAGTTTGTGAAGCCCTGCCTTAAATTGGCTCACATGAGCATTTAAAATTAAATCCGCTTATGGGGTGGTGTCACGCTATGAACCCTGCGCTTTTGATTTCCGGCCACGGCTAACACTAGTGAAGAGTGACATCTGACCCGGTTCTCCTAGGCCTCCCTTTGCCAACCCACACTGTACAGCTTGGTGAAGCATAGTCAAACAACCCCCTCCCATTCATCCAGCAGTGGATTGATCAAATGCTATGCAATTCAGGCACTTAAAGTAGTGCCAATGCACACACCTATAAACCCGTGATTTGGAGGTGGGGTTGGTGAATCATGCTGAGATAAAGCTTTGTCTGGTGGTGTGTGAGATTCACATCTGCAGGTACTGAGGTGCCTGCTTTGGGGTAATACATCCAGCAGGTTGCCGACCATCTATCTGGAGTTCGAGTGTTTTTCTCTCATTTGCTTGAATTATCTCCGGGTGTTCTGGTTGTCCCCAACACACAATAGAGACGGATCAAACAAACCAAGCAAATTCTGAAGAAAATCAGGAAATGAGGCTCGGGGGAGGCTTTTCTGGATAAATAAAGGGAGTTATGCTGTTATTTATACCAGAAATTATAACTCATGTGCAGCTTGACTGAAGGGGTGTTAATAAAAAAAATGTGGATGGGCGTTTAGTTCCCGAAAGGCTGGTTCTTCCACCAGCGGCATAAATCATGCCAGCCGTCACTCGGGCGGATGGAAGTGTCCACATTTTGATATCATCACCGGCGCCAGTAAAAAGATGCCCTGTAGGGATCTGTCCTGAAATTTGTCTTTGGTAAAATAATACATGACTGTCCCTTTTTGCTACAGATGCTGCCTTTGTTTGAGATGAAAGTTTATATATAAGTTGATGAGTTTTTACTTGATTTAATATTTTCATTTTGTCCATTACGTTGAAGGTGACCTGGCTATGATTACGTTTATGGAGTTCAAGAGCTAACCGACCTGCAGTGGTGGTAGTGCTTAGGCCACTGCCCTATGAAGCCGGTCACCTGAGTTCAGTTTGTGGGCACGACTAAAATCGGTGGCGAGTGATATCTGATCAGTGCTCCCACCCCCCACCTCCCTTCACCATCCGGCACTGCCCAGCGTGGTGAAGCACAGTGTGCTCAAACAACCCCCTTGAGTGACAGTGTAGGAAGGCCTTCATCCAGCAGTGGATTTACACAAGGGCTTGACATTATAGATATAAATACTAACTCTTTATTTGGTTCTTATCCTGGAACCTGAGCACCTGTGTAATTTACTGGCTTTGTTCCACAACGTGATACATTAGTTCCCTAAACGTTCTCGTCTAGCCCCTCGCCTGCGGTTGCTCATGCTGACGTGGAAGCTTGCATTCCGAGCTACATTGGGCACTAAATTGAATTATGATTGATTTCTGCAGAGGTTTAATACATGTCCTTTCCCAATGTGTTTGTGCGTGTGTGTGCGTGGGGAGTGGTAGTGCAGCAGTTAGCACGTTGCAAACCTGCTCTGTCTCGGGTTCCATTCCCACTCTCGGTCAACGCAAATGATCAGTGTCTGAACTGATCTGGGAACTCCCCTAAGTTGACTCGGCCTCAAATGAGTACTTGGCGTGGTGTGTAAACATCGCCACTAGGGAGACAATGGCGACCGGGCGTGTTGTTGGCCACCCACCCCCTCGTGTGCCTTACTGGCCTTCATAAGGGCTCGCTAACGGCACTTGCCCCGACAGTCTGTTAAAGGATATACGGGGGGGGGGGGGGGGGGGTGTCTTTGTATTTGTGTATGTGCGCACTTTTAACACATTCGTGGCCAAAGTTGCTGTGGGTGGGCCGTAACGTGTGGTTCTATAGAGGTGAGTGCGCGTGGGTTTTTCAACAGGATGGTCAAATTGATGCGGAGGAACTCCAGCGGTGTCTGACCCAGTCGGGCATCAGCGGCACCTATCAGCGTACGTGCCGCACAGCCGATCCGCTTGTATGAGTAACTGCCGTTAATTTGAAGTCCCTTCGCGTGTGTACGAGATTGTTATTGTAAGCTGGTTGATGTTTTATGCGACGGTTATTTTGCTCATTTACTTACAGCTGTTTCAGATACCCATGTGCTGTTGTTTATTGCTATATTTTCACCTTCATTTGTATGTTTGCCGTCCTATGTTATTTATAATAAACATATCGACAGCTGTAAGTCCTTTTTACGCTGCAGTAATTTACTTAAGATATTTCAATTTCAAAGGGAAAACGACACTTTATTGCCTTTGTTAGTAACACTGCTTTGTAACTGAATATTTACGGTAGGTTAACATTTTGTGCAGTGTTGCTTCTGAACAGCGAATTTAATTCAAAATCTTATGTTGTGCGGATTGAAATTGATGTTTACTGTTGTCCCATTGTCATTACAGCTTTCAGCTTTGAGACCTGCAAGATCATGATTTCCATGTTGGATGTATCCTCTCTGTATTTATCTTTGCTTGGCAAATATATATTTGTATTGATGTAAGTGTTCATGGCTTGATGTATAGAGAAATGCTCTCAAAAAAATCCTTGTATATAAAAGCTTGTGAGCAATAACAATTGGCATAGATTAGAGCACAGGCTGTATGTAGGGCCAGGGCTTTGATTAGAACACGTCACCAAAAGAGATTATTGCTGCTGTTGGAGACCAACTGCGGAGTAGCGAGTAAAGGAAGGAACGCTTTTGAGAGGCGTTCGCTGCGATTAAATCCACTTGTGTCCAGGTGCTTTGATGGCTTATTACATCCCAACCCTGTGAGATCGGTCGACAGCTTAGGGGGGAGGGGAAAGCGTTTATCCAGCAGTGGATGGATCAAGGCTGATGGTGATGTAGAGGCAAGAGGATTGTGAGCAGTATTTAAAAAAAAAATTACCAGGTAAGTCCCACTGAGCTATATAGCTCTTTTTCCCAGAAGCGATCTGGCCTTATCTTGTGGACATTTATAGCAGCCAAATACTCTAAATGCATGTTTCTTAATGTGGAGTGCAAATCTGGAGGACCTGGAGAAAAATCCACACTACTACAGGGAGAACATCCAAACTCCAAATAAACAGGCGTCGAGGTCGGGATCGAACCCATGACGACCTACATACCAGGAGAGGTAGTTAACATCTCACCACCCTGGTGCCCCACAAATGAAAGTACGGGTGTCTTTTCAATGTTTTCCTTGATTTGCCACTCACTGACGGGCGCAGCGCGACATGTCCGGTAAGATGGGTTTCAACGAATTCAAGGAGCTGTGGACGGCACTCAACGGCTGGAAGCAGAACTTCATGGCGTTTGACCGGGACATGAGCGGCACGGTGGATCCTGGGGAGCTGTCGCAGGCCCTCGCGTCAATGGGTAACGGTTGCGTACCCGCAAAAAGGACTGCACGATGCGCGCGCGACCCTCACCACATGAGCACGGCCGGTCGAACAAGCCGCAATGGCAAGTGGAATACGGGGAACAGACCTCCCTCGGGGACGGAGTGTTGCACCGTCATGTGCCGAGAATGAGGAGCTGGACGCCACCTTTCCAAAACGATTGCGTGGATTTGGTTTTGGTCCACGGCTGACACTCTGTGTCCAAGGGGTTGAGGGGCGGGCACGCGATCTGGCACGTGGCTAATTGAAATGTGGAGTGTTTTTTTCAATTTCCCCTTGTTTTTGTGGCTTGCTCGGATGACTAACGCCTCGCACAATTGCATGGCCCTTTTTTGCATGAAATGAAACAAATCGGCTTTGTGCTTCCAATTTTGACAGAATCCTTACATTTAAAATAAGATGAAGCATTTAACTTCCCAAAACAGTCGCAACGTTATAATTGACGGCAATGAGTGGTTTTAAAATGGTTCCCTAAAATCGTTTATTTTCATGAAAAAAAGTGGCTGATGTGAAAACAATAAAACTGCTTCTTTAACATTGGTTATTAATGCCTTTTCACCATAACTAACTGACCAGATGCTATTTTTTTACATTATTAACAATTTTCGATAATTTTTAAAACATTAACCCATACGAGTAACCCCCCCCCCCGCATCCATAACGCAGGGGTCCCGCCTGTTTGCCCATGAGTCCACGCGTTGTTCTCTGGTGCACCGCGGCACCATTGCCGAGTCCCCTCGACGAGAGTCTCGGCCGTGTTGCTGCAGGTTACCGGCTGAGCCCACAGGCGATCAACAACATCGTCAAGCGGTTCAGCCGTGACTGCAAGATCTTCTTCGATGACTACGTGGCTTGCTGCGTCAAGCTGCGTGCGCTCACCGGTACGGCTCGCCACGGGGAAACCCACTAGCGGTTAAATGAGGTCTTTGGAATGTTCGTTCGGCTGGTGCTCAACTCCTCGGCATTCGGACTGTGGAACTCGGTGGCTTTTGGTGAGGCGTGAAAAGGAGTTCGTACCTCCACTGCGTTACAATTCGTTGTCATCATTTGAAGTGACGGTTGGATTCAATATCGATTTATTGTCCCGTTCGCGCTGCCACATTTCTAATATCGTCGTATGTTCCGTCGACTTTTCTTCCATCAGCTTTAATCAAAAGCGATTTTCACATTCATATTGTTATAATAATTTTAACTTTAATCGATTTAATTGGTGTTCAGCTATCTTTGTTTGGCGGAGTTTGTTTCAGAGGCATTGTACGGTATATCCCTTTATTGGCGTAATGAAAAATATTTGGCCTACATTAGATGTGTTTTTAACTGTGTACGCCTGGGGGCCCACATCTGGTTCACTTCTGGACATGCGTGCTGAGATTCAAAGAGAGACTAGTGAGGGATAAGTGAGATAAAACAAAAGAGGCAAGTGACCTGGAGGCAAGTGATACGAATTAGTGGTCACATGTAGAGATATGACGCCGTATGACATAATGTGTCACCTGTACGCGCGACACCGTGATGTTGCGCATGCATTGCGGTAACGTACAACTATGTCACCTTGTCCGTTGGCGCACGCTATTTATGATATGCGGTTTGCTGGAAAATCTAGATGAAGATCTCTGGCCTACCTGTTAATGAAAACTGGTTGCAATAGATAGCTTGTTCGTTGAACGCACAGACACCAGGTTAAAGCTGTAGTTATCCCGATGGCTTGTAAAAGAAATACTTAATGCTGTGTTAGTTTAAAGAATTCATGAAAAGCGCAGTGTGTTGGGATTTGATAATGGACTGCCAGGAGGGAGTTCAAATACTTCCACTTTTTAGTATGCACTCTTGAGTTGGGAAATTTCAAAATGTTCAGCTCATGAGCATAGGGAATGTAGGATAATAAATCGTGGCAATGTGCAAAGTGGTCATAAAACAAGTGCTTTTTTTCGTGCCAGCTCAAGGCTAATGCACTGCTCTCATGTCAGAAGGGGGCCAACCACCAATGACATCCTTTCCGGCAACAGCAGACGATGGAATTTTCGGCCTTGCGTTTCTTAATTAGTCAGAGGTACTAAAACGGTAGTGGAAATTGCAATGTAATATTTTTTTATCGTTCTAACCATTCCAGCCTCTGCCTTTAAGCAAACATGTACCGCCCTTGCATAATTCCACTGCTGGATTGAAGGGCCCCTCCCCCTATGCAGTTTTGCTAGTGGGAGTTACTTGACCATATTTCACCATTATCATTTCAACTGGTTGTGTAAACATTTTAATTGCGACACAATCCTGCTGTTCTGCCTTACCACTACAGCTGTGGTGTTTGAAAACCAGCACACCGTGGCTAACGTGTAGTGTCGCTTCATTTAAACTTCGGGGTTACGTTTGAGTAGCTTTTTAGCTTTTCATTTTGGATTATTCCAATATGGGGTTGCTCTCGATGCGATGCCATGAAGAGGTATCCGTTTGCATCTCTCATAGAGCAGCAACCCTTCATGTTAGAGATTGGCCTGCGTAAAAGGACACCACAGAGCTACCTCCAGAAATCTCTTCAAATGACTTCTATTCCGCACAAGTCAGGGTCAGCCTTTTCTTACCCACTATGCCATTGAGGCTATTGTTTATCGTTTGAGATTCAAACTGATAATTGTAATTTTCAGAGCTGAGATTTAGCCAAATTTAGTGCAGAACCAAGCTTACCGTTTTTAGCACAGTGGCTAATGTGTATGTAGGGGAGTGTGTGGCTTCGCTCAGAGAGGTTATGTTGCGAGCCTCTTTTGGGAGACATTCGGAGAGAAATGATCTGTCATCCCGATGAGATATTGGCTAAGAGAAAGGCTAACAGCGGGGAGGCCTGCACACTGGCTGAATCCAGTTTCCTAATCCACAGTGTTGAGCGCTCGATGGGCTGAGTGGCCGTTTTTGCTACGGTGTTTTTCTGTTTCAATTAGGGCAACCCTCCTGGGAGTGCCAGGGAGCGAATTTTTTTGTTTTAACCTTTTCGTAGCATGCAACACCGCTCTCGACTGAACATTGAGGTAATGCAAACCTTCCTAAAAGAGAAGGCCTGCTTAAAAGGAGGAGGCCAATGAGAGAGTGGATCGTCGTGCTTGCGCGATGGCGAGGTAGGCTGCGGTTAATGGCGGAATACAGGAGGACGCTGACAGAGCGGTGCAATCGCGCAAGCTTACGGGGTTGATGGCAGTGACTATGGACCGTATCGTTTGGGAGGGCACCTGATCTCGTCAGATCTCGGAGGCTTAAGCGGGCCTGAGCCCGACGGAGGGGTTTTTGAATGGTGTACCGCCATGGATAACAACATGTAGACTTGTGGGGGGGGGGGGGGGGGGGGGGGGGGGGCAACGTTGTGGGCGTGCCGACCCCAGCGCAGAAATATAAATTTATGTACTCTGGCTCTCACGTCTATGCTCTTCAGCTTTGCCGAGCCCTTACTAACCAGCGTCAGTAAGTAAATCTTATGACCTACGCTGCACGAGAGGGGGCCCTCATTTGGAAGTGTATTGATGAAGGGCTGTATGTGTATACGATGGCCACTCTCTTCCATACAGCCCTTGTACGTTTCAGCAGCATTGCTCGAGGCTCTGGCTGCTGGATCTGTACATTGTGCTCCTATTCTGTGGAGCTAACCTAGATGTCAAGGTCTGCTGCAGTGATTATTGGGTGCCACAGTGACGAGATGTTAACTACCTCGCCTGGTATTCAGGAGGGACGTGGGTCCGATCCCGACCCTGTCGCCTATATATTTGGAGTTTGCAATTTCTCCCCGTGGTCACGTGGATTTTTCTCAGTCCTTCGGTTTTTCCCTCGCCATTTAAAAACATGCGTTTAGAGTATTTGGCTACTATCGTTGAGCTATAATTTGTGGCCAGGTCGCTTCTAATAAATAGCTATATAGCTCAGTGGGCCTTACCTGGTAAAATACAAATAGTTTAGTTTAAATGATGTTACCATGATCTTTCACCCTTGGCTTTTTCCCATACAGTTGTTGCTGCTGGTGGTGGTGGTTAATTTGTTCACCTAATGTTCTTGGCTTTGAGCAATGCCCCACATCTTCTATGCCCCCTTCCTCACCGTAGACTCATAAAATCTGAGATCACATTTTTGCGTGCATCATTGTTACTGTTGGTAATCTCTGCTCCCTCGTTGTCTGTGGGTTTTACGAGATGTTGACATTCATACTGTGGTGGTCGTTTGTGCTTGTTCTATTTTCAAAATTACCTAATTGTAATACAACAGGAATATCTTAATTAGCATAATTTGCCTCCTTAATATTCATGAGTAATCAATTATAAGGAATTTCCCTGGAGTGTTGTGTTAGAGTGCATGCATTTAAATGTGTTCATTTATATTTTCTGATCTTTAAAGATGTTTTCAAAATAATTTCAAATGGAATTTTGGCTAGTAATAAAAATACACTTACGCCATAAGATTTTCAGACTGCTGTAATGATATTCTTTATTCACCCAGCAAGCATCGCTGAATTGCAAACTTCCTTTCAGGCAGGCACAGTAGCAGGTGCACTGCGCTACGAACCCAGCTACCCGAGTTCGTCCCTGGCCACTGTGGACTTCAGTGTCAAGTGGTATCTGAGCCAGTTATGGGTCCCGTCTTCACCAATCTGCTGTTGTGAAGTGTGGTCAAACAACCTGTATGACCGATACGCCTTGGGAGGAGGCCTTCACTCAGCAGTGGATGAGCAGGGGCTGTACATTATAATTGTATTATTACATTTTCAGAAGGGTTCGACTTCGGTGTGTTTGGCCCCATTTGATTTTTTTTGCATTATCATTCAACCTCTTTTAACTTCTTGGTAAGCCTGGTTGTGATCTTGCTGCTGCCAAATCCTCCAGGGAGACCTTATGGCCGCAGGGGGGTGCAGGCGGTGTGCGAGCAGTCACTGACGAGAGATACCTCTTGCCCACAGATGCCTTCCGGCGGCGGGACACTGCCCAGCAGGGATACGTCAACTTTGCCTACGATGATGTGAGTGCCGGCGTTTTGCCCTGGTGTTGTTAAGGTTTTTGCGGGTCAACGTTATACTGTGTTCATACTTAGAGTTGGTATTTTTTTAAAATCACCAAATAACACTGACATACTTGCGTATAATTGTTGCGTATTATTAATTCTATCTGCATAACAAAAACTATATGGTGCTTAAAAGTCTGTGTTGGCTGGATTACAATTGGAATTGAACTGCTTAGCTCAATGGGCCCGATATGAAATTGACTCAAGTAGTTGGTGGCGGGGCTGTTTTAAATTAATTTTGAACATCGGCAAGAACTGTGAATGTGCTACGTTACGAAGTAGTGCACTTGTTTTGGTTATATCTCACTGCCCCCGAGGGTGTGAGTATACAGCAGCCGCTTGGGGTTCTCTTTAATTTGTTTTGCGTTTCTCCTTTATACAGTTTGGTCTCGATTATCCAAGTTGCAGATTAGCTGTGCTCGCGAAAAAGGAAGCGAAATAGATAAAAGTGGTGTACCACGCGCACGTCGGAGGACCAACGCGCCTGTGGCGACCCTAGTAGCTACTCGCTTGATGACCGATTTATATTAGAAACAATAATATCAGACTAAGCATTCTACGTTTTGACCCCCCCCCCGCACACCATTCTATATAGGTAAACAACAAATATAAACAATCAAAACAATAAATACGGTTGCGTTATTCACGTTTTCATTTTATCGTGGCCATCCCAATTATCCCAGGAAACTCGAGAGGCTACCAAGCGTTTGGCGCCGACAGATGTTAAGCTGCCCCTTTTGGGGTTGCACATTTTGCGACGAATTCGGAACTATATTTTTGCATGCTTCTGCCAAGAGACATACATGGTGTAAATGTAGTTCTCCCGTATAAGTGTCACAGACTAGAACCGGTTTTCATGTAGCAAGCAACAGTGTAGTTGAGTAGAGAAAACAGTGTCTTGGAATTATACCGAGAGGCACGAAGAGGAACGCATAGTTCTGAGAGCATACACTAGTTAGGAACATGATTGACTGTTAAGAGACGTAATGTGGGCTTGGTCAGAATACGTCACTTGAAGGGTTGATGTCCGGTGGTCAGGACTTATGATAGGAGTGGCCAACCAAAGCAGGAAATGCGCCCGTGGGCATATCCACCTCTATCTATTTCGATGTTGCGATTAAAATCAAGCCCCAGCGTGGAGGTGCTACTTAGATTATTGTATCGCAGGCCTGAGCGAGGCATCTCATCCAGCGGTGGATGAGTAACGGGAGACGCTGATGACGTTTTATCTTGAAAGTCTTTTGGCTTGCTCCTTGTTGAACTCGTCAAGGAACATAAACCATCACGCGAACTCTGGTCATCCTCGCAGCAGATTTTGGCTAGCCATCGAGCAAAGACGGTCACTGGTTCAGATGCGCTTCTGTGGCCGTCTGGAACGCCCCGCTCTTCCTTCCGATTGTGGAAGCCACTGGAGCTATGTACTTTGAAATCTTGATTGAAAATAATATATTTCGAACTGCTTTTTGTGTTTAGTTTGTTGTCATTCCCCCACACCTCCAATCAGCACGGTTGGCTAATGTACGGTGCGAAATAATTTCTACATACATACGTATACAAATACACGTACAGACGCCCACTCTGTCGCCGACACTAACCGCGTTGTGCCGCGTTTCTCTCCCCCGCAGTTCATCCAGTGCACCATGAGCATCTAAGAGGCCTCCGGCGGGCGTGGTGCCATCGCCTACACAGACCGCGGCTTTACCAAGTCACGGACTCGGGTTTCTGTCACCGTGTAAAACTACAAACCTGCGTATACGTACTGTGGTCGTGTAGGGGTTTTTTATGTTTGTGGTTGCACGTTTTTTTGTACGGAACGATTAACCCTTCGAAGCCTGCGAGCCATTCACTTTTTTTTACGTGTTAATGATTTCTCTCACACTTATCTGGCAGTTGGTATCAGAACTGTGCAGCCAGATTTACACTCCATTAGCGATAGATGATGTCAGACTGTGAAATGGGCGTGAAGTGCTTTGCCTAGATGTCCCTCGTAAAGATCGGGCTTTAACTCCTTACGAAAATGTAACCTTTACTCTAAACGAGTATTGTCATAGGCACTGAATGATGTTGAAAGCGTTCGTGTGGGTTTTTTTTAGATGCTTGCATACTGGGTCGAGTAACGTTTTGCAAAACGTATTACATTTTACATCAAAAACGTGTTAAAATCCTGTCGCTCCTGACTCGTGCCACAGAAATGGACTCGGAACTTCAACACGCTTGTTTCATATGCTGCGTCCACTACCAGGAATTGCAGACTAGTGGCTTGTAGTTACAAGTTGCCCTTGTTCAAAAATAAAGTGTCTCAACAAACATTTGTGCATTATTATTATTATGCAATCAACAACACTTTGTCTGTCGTGAAATGTTCTTCAATGTGCCTGGTATTGTCAGATCGCTAAACCTAGGCAGGGTGGATTGGTTAACAGCCTGTACTTAGTTTAACACGTGTGCTTTCGCGACCAATAATGGAGGTTTTTTTGTTTGACCGCGTATATAAATGTCGTTAAACCCGTGAAACAGTACTCGAATTGTAGATGTAGTTTTTTTCTCCAACACACCGGTGTACTGAACTAGTAACGGAATTGGCACGTTTTGTTTATGTGACAAACCTAATTAATTGGTTGTCGGGTGGTGGTGCGGTTTAACGCCGCATTTTTACGCGCTCTAATCCCAAAAATACCCTCTATTTTTAACCCTGTACTTAGATGGGAGATTCATTGCTGTTGTTGCAAGGGTGTGCTCGTTGATGACCAGAAGATGGCACTACAGCAATGCGTCCATGGATGCACCTCTTTCGGAACATTAAGCGGGGTATCGCTTTTTGCCTGAGTCTTCTCCGGACCACCTGGTTTTATCACCCACCCACATAAAACACTCATTGATGGAATTGGCCAAACAATCCCAAAGCTAGAAACCTCTGTTCGGTTTCATTTGGGATGTATGCGTAAATGAAGGTAATTTTTCCGTAAAACTTACCAGTGAGAGGAAAGTGGAATGAAGTTACTCAAAATCCTGTTGCTGCAACATCACATCTCACTAAAGCTTTGAGCCATAGGGTTAATGTCAGCAACAGAAGTATGCCCAGAACGTTCATGTTGCAGTTAGACGCTATATAAATCCAGATTATATTCTCTGTGTTATGAGTTTGATTGCAATGTGTTATCTTATAAACAAAGTACTTTCACTTTTCATTTTACCATGTAAGGCCCACTGAGCTCTATAGCTCTTTTCCCCCGAATCGAACTGACTCACAAATGATAGCTCAACGAAGTGGCTTATCACGTGGAAATTTATAGCAGACAAACGCTCAACGCATGTTGACTAAATGTGCAGGGAAAAAGCGGAGTACCTGGAGAAAAATCCACGTGACCACGGGGAGAACATGCAAACTCCAAATACACAGGCGTCAGGGTTGGGATCGAACCCACGACCTCTTAAATACCAGGAGAGTTAACATCTCGCCACCATGGTGCTCCTGAGCGTACAAGTAATTGTGCAATTAATTTATTGGAAATGTATATTTTAATTTTACATGGTGTAATTCATGCCAATTGCATGTCGCAATGCTGTACAATCATGATATATAAGGGCTACATCCTACGTATAACAAGTAAATGAAACGCCAAAATAAGAAAAATAACAAAACATGGTATACACAAATGTATCACAACAGAGCAATTCGTCTACTAAGTGACATTCCAGAGCACAATCCCAACTTCTCAACAGCCAGCAAACCGTAACAAGAGAGGTGGTAGAATGCCAAAAAGTAATGGCCAATTGAGGCCAATCGGTCAAACGTCCAAATGTTATATTCCTCGGCATATGCCTGGACATTTTTTGTTTATGGGATGTGGAGTGGGAGGCTATACTGTACTCGACTGTAGGGGCTGCGCATGAGAAAGCTCGTCCACCAATGGTGTTGAGTTTTATTGACTGGCATGTGCCTCGACCGGTATACCAGCTATCTGGTAAATGGTCAGTCGGCAATTAAGCCATGGGCTCACTCGTTACTCGCATGCCTTACCTATAACCCTAACTTGCATCATAAGACTAGCCAAACAGCCACGAGATCTAGCCCTCTTTCTTCTGACCCTCACCTTAACCAAATACTCATTAGGAAATTAAACCATGGTACATTATCTAAATAATTTAGGCGTGTCATTTAACACACGAAGTGTGTGTTTCTGGCAAGGTATAAGGTACAGTAAAAAATAGACCTAACATAATGCCTTAATATCGATTATTGGTGCCAGAAATATGTGGCACAACTTGAGTATATTGGCACAAAGACGGAGCAAAGTGGAAACATTACGAAATGCGTAGTGGGCATCTACGGGCTATCTGCCCATGGATCGTAATGATGAACCGGTGACATTTTGGGCAACGCAACTAACTTCACGCCATCAAGAGGCAGGAGAGGTAGTTCATAAAAGTAAGTGTGCTCGAGTTGGACACATCGCCGGAAGGGATGAAGGCTGGCCGTTGGTTCGAGACTGGTGAAGAAATGACTCTCGCAAGGGGTTGCTGGGGTCCGCCGTCCATGTCAGGTGACGGAGCGATGAGGATCAATCCGCTCGTGCGCATGAGCGAAATGGATTTGTATCGTAGGACCGCGAGGGATGGCGTGGCGAGGCCTTCACCCAGATAGCGGCTGGCGATGACGTCGAAAGGGTGGCGGAAGTAAGCGTGGCACGTGGCACGTGGCGTGTGTGTGTTTGAGAATGAAACGCAGTCGTAGAACATCCATCAAGGCAAATTCTTGGAAGATCCAGCGAATTGGGGCAAACGTGAACACGTGGGTGCATCGCCTACTGTTCGCCACTAGAGAGCAATACAGCCTCGAACATTGCACTATGCGCTGGGTTGTACGGGCTGACGGATAACGAACGTCCAAGTTAAGGTTTCCCAAACTCCAGTTAAACTATTACTTTTTTTCTCCCAGGTAAAGCCCACCGAGCTATATTGCTTTTTTTTTCAGAGGTACCTGGCCACAAACGATAGCACAACGAAGTGGCTTATCATGTGGGGATTTATAGCAGACTACTCTCAACGCACGTTTCTAAATTTGGAGGGAGAACCCGGAGAAAAATCCACGCGACCGCGGGGAGAACATGCAAACTCCAAATATACACGCGTCAGGGTCGGGATCAAACCCACGACGTCTGGTATACTCGGTGAGGTAGTGAACATCTCGCCACCGTGGCGCCCTGCTCGCGACCCCCACCACGCTACGCCTTATCCTTTTAAATACAAATCATTTTGTACCACCCTGCACGCGCACAATGATTGTGAGACACTACCCCACGTGCTAAGCAATCAACGTCACACGGAACACGTACACGTGGAACACGTGCACGCGCACACAGATCTCGGTCTTAATTGTAATCGGCTTAGCCGTGTACAGCATTAATTGGACAATAACAGAGATTGTGGGCAAAACACTTGAACAATTTGGGTGTTATCAAGCACAGTACTGTAGTTTACTATTATTGACCATTCGAATATAAGTCTGTACCGCAGTATTCAAGTTTCCCTACATTTTTGTGGCATTCATTTCTGCTCTGGATGTGCACAAGTTAGGCCACGAGTGCAATGGAGTTTTTTTTGGTATGAAGAGATCATCGTTTATGACATAGAATCATTCAGCCGGCCGTAGACACATACGTTTTTGAGAAGTGATATCAGTGTTCTTCACACATTTTTCAGAAGGGTGGTGGGGGAGCACGGTGCACTTTTCGCCAAAAATACATCATCGGTGTCAGGGCCGCCACACATTTGAAACCATTGGTGGTTTGACAGCAGCACGATGATGATGATGGGGGATGGGGTGGGGGTGTTTCACCATTGGTGTATTGTCGGGAGCCGCACGTTCGGCCACGCGCTAAAGGCCACCAAGGGGCCGCCGGTGACACTGAGTTAGAGTCATCTGGCGGTCCGAAGTCGGTTACAACGTGGTCGTACCGTGTACGTCGCTCTCAAGGGTCATTGGGGTGGGGTGGTGTTTGACCATACTTGATCGTGTGGCTTGGTGAAGGGGGTTGCCGGCGGGGAAGGGGGGGGGGCTATGACGACGGAGGCAGGGGTGGGGGAAGGGAGACCGGTTAAGATGTTACTCGCCACCAACGTCAGCCGTGATCGGGGATCCAACTCGGATCACCAGGTTTGTAGCGAGATGGGAGAATCACTGCCACCCGGTCCCAGAGGTATGAAGTGACAAAACTCGGCGTTCGTTCAAAGTAAAGTTTATGATTTTAATCTTGACACTTGCAACGGACATAGGAGCATTATTTGATATAAGCGGGGTTTGTTTCGTGGGTTTCCTTTCAATTACAAAACAAAGTAACGCCCTTTTAGAGGAGGAAAAAAATAGCAAACGTCTGCGCATTATACAAATGGCCTTTATTACATTAAATATGAAAATATCATGAGTGACATGTCTGTGAGAGAGGACACGAAGTACAACCAAGTTCCATTACACATCGAATAAGTTACACGGTCAACAGCATCGCTGCTCTGCTCTGCGTATTGTGAGTGGATGGGTGGGGAATGTGTGTTTCTGGCTGGGTACAAACACCACTGCATCGTGGAGAGGAGGTGACATCTACAGCATTCTACCTGTGTAACGTCTATGGCGCTTCGAATGGCGGCATGCAATAACGTGGACACGAACAACGGCAATCACGCTTTGTCTAACATTTTGTTTCGTTTAAAAATAAGCTTTTAACACATACAGTGTGGCGGGGTTTCGGTCTTCTTTGTGTAATATGTGAGAGCGGTCTTGGTGAGCACGCGCTGGTTGGGCATTTCTCAGTACATGGGCGATGTCTCGTCACCTGCATGGCGGAGGGAAGGGGGGGGTGGGTAATTGGCGAAGGTTGTGGAAAGAGAAAGAGAGAGACAGACACACACACACAAGCACGGATGAGTTGCCATTCTCAACGATGTTATCCGTCTTGTTTCTCATTTAGTCATCCCGATGTCCGCCACCGGTGTCGCGTCACGAGAACGTCGATGAATCCGTTCGCATTTCTCGAGCAGAGGCAGTGCAAACATTATTCGCGTTGGAGAATGGCCCACGGAAGCGAAATACTTCGCTGCTATCGTCAAGGAGCATAAGCCATCACGCGAATTCCGGTCATCATCCGAACTCCGGTCATCATCCTCGCCACAGCAGCGGCTTTGGGCCGGCCAATCGCACAAAGACGGCGGTCACCGCATCGCGCACTTTAAGGTGCGCTTCTGCCGGCCGTCTGGAACGCTCTTCCTTCCGATATTAGGAAGCCACTGGAGCTATGCACTTTTAAATAATCTA